GAAGGAGGTTTTTTATCAATTTTACCATGAGATAATTTTTTCAGAATCAGAAGAAACAGATTTGGAATCAGACTCACTTTCTATAAGAAACAATGCCTTTGTGGCAGGTTTCTCTTGTATCTTTTACCTTTTGAAGTAGATGAGTTTTCAAATTGGGGCTTTTCATCTTTTTCAGGAAATCTCACATAATTTGTGGTGTAATTAGTGATGTGCCGCGCATAGTATGTTACGCATAAGGGTTTAGCTATGTTTTTTATAAACATTAATTTTTTAATAAAACATTTCCAAGAAACAATTAAATATGCCATTCACTTTTTTATTATTATGTACGCATTTATGACATTTCCCTCCATATGATATACATTATGCGCACTATGCGCGAAAAAAAAAAATTTCAGGGTTACTATGAATGGCACATCTCTAGGTGTAATTCATTGCAACCAATGTTGTACACGGGACATGGCATCTATTTGAATCTAGACCTACCACAAAATCTCATATAACTTTACAAACTAGCCATTTTTCCTTATGCATATAATCTAGGTCCTGGCCAAACTGTCTCTCATATTGAAATTTTAATGTCCCATTCAGCCTCTAAGCTTATTTAAATACCTAATTAATAAAAATAAGCAAATTTAATTTTGCAATTCCATTTTCCACTCATGTATATCAATTATGAATTTGTAACATATCGATCTCCACACATTGTTGTTAATTGATATGTTTTTATCAAGCCACGATTTTAATGGACTGATCCGATTATTTGTTTATTTGATTGGTTCAATGCTAGCAATGCCAAGTATTAGACTTTGCTTAATTAAAAAATTAGTTATTGCGTGTGTGATAATAGAAAAATCAGAATGGTTGCAGAGTTTAAAATGGTAACAGTAAATGACGGTAGAGTTAAGGTTTATGGCTAATTTTATTAATAAAATTTCGAGATTGATCATTTTGCGTTCGACTGATAATAAATAAAAAATGATGCGGTCAAAAAACGAAATAGGAGATTCAAATATTGTCTTTTATTTTATTTTTTACTTTTCGTAATTTATAAAAAATAAAAATAAAAATAAAAATATAAAAATTTATAAAAAATAAAACCATTTACAAATAACTAAAAAACTAAACAAGATATTTTGAGCAATAACAATGCCACAAAATTACCAATAAAAATATATAAAAGAACCACTATGGATTTGTTTATATTTTGTTGTTTCCTAACATGAATTAAATAAAACACCATCGTTTTCACAATTTAAATTTAAATCTTTTAATAATAATAAGGTTCTGTTCCTCCATCAACAAATTTAGCGCCGAGCGAGATCTTTATCTAGCACATTCAGATGAAAAAGAAAAAAGCGGAGGTTGTCTAAGTAATGGCGAAAAAAAATCTTGATTACATTTGTCTGCTGGCATTTCTACTTTTATTGTACACATGCATGTTCCTAAAGTTTCAAGAGCTGATGTTGTAGCAATAAAAGCATAAGCTAAAATGGCTAAAATAATGACAAGTTTATTATAATTGTGCATGTTTTATTATTATTATTATTATATTTATTATATGAAAATATAATTATTATTTGATTTTTAATTTTCGATTATAATGAATTTTTGGAATGGAAGAAGAAGAGTCTTTTTATATGTATTTTTATTACTATTTAACTAGCAATTGCATTTCCAAGGACGAAGACATTAGTCGCTGTACTACATATTAATGTTTTGTTAATGTTAAAGATGGTTGCGTGTGAAATTTATAATTAAATATATAGTGTTTAACGAGAAACTTTCACTTGGTGCAACTGACCCTAACAATTGATTTTCAATTGTTTTAAAGTAGGGGGTGCTATCGCATGTGAAATTCAAATTAGCCAATCAGAGTTTCATATCCAAAAACTCTAAAAATTTTTAAATATAGATTATAATTTAAATTTGTGCTAGAAAATTATATTTAGAAATGCTGTAAAGATTATTATAGGTCAAATCATTAAAGAATATGTTGTATAACTGCTGTTCAAAATTTTTTTTTAGAATTTTTTTTTTTGGGGCAGACTTCACCTGATTCTACTACAATGCATGTTAAAGTGACTTGTAAATATTTCTCTTGGTCGTCGTTCACATCTATTATTCGATATAAGTTTTTGTTTTTTTTTTTTTTTTTTAAGAATAATAAAATCTTACTCTTAATAAAGACATTGAGAATTCCAAATTTGATTTCACAAATCTATTTCTGCTTATGAGAAAGACTTCTGACCGAATAGTAGATAGAAATAATATAATTGGTGGCAAGTTTGCAGAAACAGAAAAGGAAAAAAATAACATTTTGTTTTTAGTTATCTTTGGTTAGGTTGATTAATTATAAAAATAGGGTAAAATAGAAAATGAACAAAAAAAAAAGAGGAGAATATTCCCCAATGTGAAAATATTATCAGTCAAGTTAAAACCAAAAACCTGAATTAATTAAACAGATAAAAATTATCCGAGTTAATTGAAGAAAAGTCAATATGCAAAATAAAATTCAAACAAACTGAATTAATTAAATCCGGACAACTAAGTCAGGGCTAAAGTAAAAAAGAGTAAGCTCAGAGTATAAGGTTTATACGTTTGGATCGATTGTGCCATTTATTTTATATGGAGGAGATTAAGAAACAAGAAACGAAAGTACTCGTTATAAAGATCACAATATTGGTCTCAATCCATATGATACGAGTGTATAATAAAATTTAAACTATAAGCAACTTTTGATAAATAAATTCTTTGCCGAAATTTATTAATCCCTATTAATCCCTATTATTTAAAGTTGAGAATTTTTATTCAAAATCGAAGAATTGAAAATTATTGCACCAACAATCCCTAATGTATGAAACTTGTTCCAGACATTGTACGCAAATTCTATAATTTTGTTTGTTTCTTTTCAGGTATCATTATTGAGACTTTTTACATATATGTCACATTAATGTTGTCTGGACTTGGTACATCTGATTAATAACCTTAATTGAATTTCTGTGAATTGGATGAAAGGAGCGTGCAAAGGTGAAGATTAATTAAGTTAAAGCTCGAATAAAGTTGAAGGCTTAGGACTGGGGTCGAAGTGTTTATGATGATGGAGATAAAAATCATGCTAACCAATTTTGTGACCCTAAACACAGTTTAGGGAAAACCCCGAAACCGAAACCTCCCCAAATTAGTTTAGGGAGTTTTTAAATCCTAAACCATACCAAAACCTAAACCATTACCCAAACCTAAACTCTTATCAAAACCCATACTGAAACTAATTTTATATCGAAATACAAAAAATCACCAAACCTAAACCCCAACCTGAAATTTTTTACCAAAACACAAACTTCATATGCGTTGATTTTGTTTGAACCCCAAAATCTAGTACGGTATGATCATAACGTTATGAATACTTTATATTAGCAAAAACCCATCGGTTTTGAGGTGATACCATTGGTTTGACGGGCTACCGAATAGTAAAATAGTTTTTTTTAGCAGAGCAAATAAATTTTTTGTGGGGTTAATTATCATTCTATTGACCAGTTTACACATCATGCTTAACGTGTTTAACGTCGAGATACAATATACGTTATCATTTTGATGATCTGTATATTATAATAATTCAAGGCCGTCTAAACATACATGATAAATAAGTGAATTTATAAAATAAAATTGTTTAATTGAAGTTTTCGTGAATTAAGAGGATGGTAAAGATGAAAGAAACTTTGTGGTAGCGCTCAAAATTTTTACATATGTATTGATGAATTTATTTTAATAATAACCAGAGCTTTAATTTTTTCCTCAATATTAAATTTCTCCCGCGTACTTTTCAGTTAACAATAGTTTAATCAACAAAAGTCACATTCAATATTAACAATGTTGGCGACAACGACGACATTGACAACAATAATTACGATGATGATAATGACATTTTAATATGTACCAAAATAACGTAGTTTACATAATGTTTATTTAATAAATTTCAACATGTTAAAAGATAATTTGGAGAGAATTGTTATTTCAACAGTGTGGACGGGTGTTGTTTTCTGCATTTAGAAGTCTTGAAATTTGAGTTTACGTATCCATTTGTAGAGTTATCATCATCATTACAAATGCACGTTTGATGCAATGTTATAATAAATACGTTAACACACAAAACATATTAATATGTGCGATGAAAAATATTTCATAATAAAGTTTATTCATATAGAGAGATTTTTCTTTGATATCTTCTAACTATTAAAAAATGAAAATTAATTATTTGATGAACAACGCGTATAGATAAGAGATAAGCTAGAAAAAACTCATTTTGAATCACTAAAAAAGAGCGATCTTTATATTGTCTAATTGTCGAAAACAAAAATCCAATTATAAAATAAGTTTTTTATCTCCAAAGAGAAAGTCAATAAGTAAAAAAAATAAAATTAACAAAAATAGGGTTTTTTAATCTTCTCTCTATAATGCAAATCGTTATGACTAAATTTTCCAAAGCAGTTAAGAATTATCATGTTTCGAAACATTCTTCAAATTTTTCAAACGGAAAATTTATTTCAATAAATTTTAAAAATCGAATTGGTAGAATATATACATATTCCAATCACAAATCGAAATTTTTTCATTGGAGATTTGTTTAAATATTAAGTAATGTAAATAATAAATTGTTAAATTACTCGCAGGAAGATTCTTGGCTGACATTTTTACTTTTAAGTCAAATAATTCTGTCACTGTATCAGAATTATCGTTTCAAAATTGAAACTAACTATCAGAGTCATCAATTTGAAATATCATTTTTATAATTAATGAAACCTAGCGATGGTAGTGGCATTAATGATTATTGTATCGTTGGATTTATTTTATTGTTTAAATATAAAAATTTATAGACAAATAATAAAACATTGATAAAATGGATTTTATTATCATTATTATAATATTTTATAACTAATACATTAAAATAGAACGAAAAAAAAGACAATTGATTTGTAAATAGAACGATTTTATACAAGTTAATATATATATATATATATCAATATAATAATAAATAATGATATTTAAATACTAATTTTAAGATTACTAAGTAATTACACGTTAACAGGGTGAAAAAGGATAGTTGGTTGCACCAGCCCATAGAAAACCAGTCTTACCACCTTTAACAAAAACACGAAGCCAAATATTGGTTTTAGCACCTTGAGATACACATTGACCAAGACAATCTGTCACAGGATTAAACTTAGCACCTTTTCCCAAGCTGGCAATTACTTTTCCACTTAAACACGGTTTGTTACGTATTTTTACTCCGTTAGATGATGTAACAGTCACTGGTGACATCGTAGGTTTGATTGGAGATCCACAAGTACATTGTGATAAGGCTGGTTGAATAAAATTGATTAAACAAATAATGCCAATAACAATAATTAAAAGTTTTTTATTGAAGTGCATTTTTTTTTTTTTATCAAAATTGTATGATAATGGGATTCTTTCTAGGGAAAATTGATGTAATATTTATAAGAAAATGAATCTACATTGTTCAATTTGAGACTTTTATTTTCGAAAGTAAAATTCCATAAGACTACGTAGCTTACAGCTGGAATACATCATATAGATGTCATGTTTTCTTTATTGATACAATGATTCAATTGTACTTATCAACGAATTTTGTTAAAAAAGTTAAACGGACGATTTTTTTAACAGGTCAGACCAATTGTTTTATTTTCTTTACGACTTATTTCTTTTTTTTAATATAATAACATTACATTTCACTGCATTTCTTTTTTAAAAAATTAATTAATAGTTTGTTTATTTACGGAATTGGAAAAGTCGAATATTTTAATATTATATTAAAAATGATCGACATTTTAATCAGCCGACGAAATGCATGACGAAAAAATGCATTTTAATATTAAGGATTATTATTATTATTATTGGCGAGGGAATGAAAATAAAAAAGGAAACTAAAAAGGAATTTAAATTAGTATAGATTATTTATTTGTTTTTAAAAAAAACGATTTAGTAAGCTCAAATGTTAAACTTCTTATAGAGTGGTAAACTTCAAAACTTTTGTTCGATCTTATTATTGTTGGCGAGGGAATGAAAATAATAAAGGAAATTAAAAAGGAAATTTAAATTCATTTATTTATTTTTTAAAAAAAAGATTTAGTAAGCTCAAATGATTAACTTCTTGTAGAGTGGTAAACTTCAAAACTTTTGTTCAGTCTTATTATTATTGGCGAGGGAATGAAATAAAAAAGGAAAATAAAAAGGAATTTAAATTAATATAGATTATTTATTTATTTTTAAAATAAAAGATTTAGTAAGCTCAAATGATATACTTTTTATAGAGTGGTAAACTTCAAAACTTTGTTCGATCTTATTTCATTATTCATGAAATGATGAAATGAGTTTCATTTAGAGTATGTTATCCGTGTAACCTAATCAAGATGTGCGTACGTTCTTCGAATAAGAAAAGAAATTGTTTATTTTTAAACTCTTTTTTTTTTTTTGCTTTTTTATGGGAGATGATTGAATATTGTGAGCGCGAATCAACCAGTATACCGTTATTATTCCTCAAGCTTTGATATTCACCTTCTTGTTCTAATTTGATGTCATTATTATTTTCTACCACTTGAAATTTAAATTATTTTCAACTATAGAATAAGTTGGAGGCTATGAGATGCAGGTTTAAAACTTCCATTAGATGAGTTAGTAGAGAAGCCAAGCAATATGGAGTCACCCGGCGAAATGGAATATATAAAGGTCTTACTACTTAAATAAGATAAAGAGGTGGAAAATTTTTTTTTTTTTGGCCATAATTTTCGATTACACTCAGTTTGAATTTTTTTTATTAAAATAAATAAAAATACATTGATATATATGCTAAATGAACATAATATTATTATTTTCATTATATATAATTCTATCTAGAATTATGTGTTTATGTTCCTTTTCCAATATAGAATCTATCATGAAGCCTTGGCTCTGTAATCCTTGCATAATTTTTTCAATAAAATAATTAATTGATCTATGTTTAAATTTCGTTTCTTGAAATTTACATGTTATTGTTATTGTATTGTATATTTTAAAAACATGATTTTTCATTGTGTTTATATTATTTTTATTGATGAAGTTATGTATACTTTCTAATGTATATTCAATTTCCTTTGAAATATCCACAATATTATTTTTTATTATAATCTATTCTTCATTTGTTGGAAGTCCTTTCTCATTTATCTAATCTTATTATAATTTTACCAATAGATTTTAGGTATCTACATTTAATTTTAATGATGTAGATTTTTCTTTAGTATTAGTTTTTTCATTTGCTATCCATTTTGATGATATATGGTCTATTGTTGATTGTATAATGATTTCTCTAATTTTATCTCATACATTATCTAGCATGGATCTATTTGTGTTTTTAATATTGTTATTATTAAGGAGACTTTTTTATATAATTCATTGTTTTATCTTTAAATTGTTTCCATTTTTTTTTTTTTTTTCATATTATCATACATGTATACTCTTCTTTTAGCCTTGCATCATTTTTATTTTGCTTCTTGTTCAAGTTTTAAAATATTGATTATGGAGAAATGAGGTAGAGATGCTGGAAGGATCCTGTTTCTAAATACATAATTTTTATACCAACTATGGTAGCAATAGTCCATTTCTTACTGAAATTAGAATGGAGATCGTGATCCATTTATACATAATGCCATAGCTGGTCAGTTATAGGACTGATAATTACATATTCATAGATGTACCACAAAACTTGCATGCTTATTATTATTATCTTAATATTAATATTAATTCAAATTATTTGAATTATTTGCTTTGTTTACTTTATTGCTTTATTTATTTTGCTTTATTCAAATTATTTGTTTTATTCATTTTGTTCATTTGTTCAAATTATTCAATCAATTCATTTTATTTATTTCATTCAAATTATTCATTTTATTTGACTAAACTTTCAAACTAATTTGAATACATAAATTCATAAAAATGAAACATAATTTATTCAAATAGAAATCCTAAGGATATTCTATTTTTTTTTCAATTCATATATAAAATACATCATCTTTGCAAACTTTTATACTCATTCAAACTCTTATGGTTTCTGGTTCTAAGATACAACGCCTTTGAGTAATTAAGTCTATTCCTCCAGAAAAAACTCATTCAACCAGTTTGTTAGATTTAGAAATTAATAAATTTAATTCTAAAAACTAATAAATAAAAATTGCATCATCCAAGTAGTAATAATACTAAGACCATGCAAAACCAAAATTTTTATGTGTGTATATGCTTCCCAATCCCATAAAATTACAAACCACAGAGTTTCTTAAAACTATCTCCAAAAAATAAAATAATAAATCTATATACAAGTTGCAGAGTTCCTTAAAATCATCTCCAAAAAAATTAAAAATTAAAAATTAAAAATAAAAAATAAAAAATAAAAAATAAATCTGATATTGATCATAGGTGTCAGATTTAATAAAATTTTCCTTTTACAAATATACTATCATGCAAATTGCACTCCTCATAACCATAGAATTTCTCTATAGGTGACGCCATTCATACATTAGTAGGCTTTAAGACAAGTGAGAGGCTTTAATAGTCTCTTTGTCAACAACACAATTTAATAAAGCTCAGAACCCTGCTGCCCCTTCCTGAAGCTTAATTGCATTGTCATATCATAGGGACGCCAGCTTCAAATTAGCCCTTGTACACAAGGAATTATTTTGAATACTTTGAGTCTTTAATCAACTCTAAATCCAGTCATCCAGTCAATCCAGTCATCCAGTCAATCCAGTCATCCAATCAATCCAGTCTCAAAAAATTTCTAAAAAAAAAGTTTATTAAAAAAATAATTAGTAACTATTCTGGAATCTTGTTAGCAAAGAAAATCTTTAACATGTTGCCTAAATCCAATTATTCCAGTTCCAGTCTCTGGAAAAATTTTATTGAAAAATAAGTAAGAAAAGAAAAACTTTTAATGCGTTGTCTGAATAACAAAGTTTTGTGATGTCTAATTTTCCACATTATTGTTATTGATTTTTAAATTTGCTAACTTCCATTTAAGAATGTTTTCCAAATAACCAGCATCTCATCAACAAAAACAAAAAAAAGGAACTATTTGTGTGTATATTTATTTTCATAACATAGGACTTAAATTTTATTGGCTGATCAACAAGGTGCATGAAAAATGAATATAATTGCTGATCCTTTTATGATCGACAGAAAATTTCCAAATATTATTTAATAAGATGAATATAAATTATAATATAAATTATAAGAACCAATATTAAATTCATTTCCTAATGTCAAAAATTCATTGTATTCTTGTCACTCTTTTAAATAAAGGTGCTTTAATAAGCGATTTACATTATGAACCATTCTCTCATTACTGGTGGCAGTCTTCTGATAATGAAAAAGTATTTCCTATTTGCATTGGACAAAGAATAGTAACTCATCTGAATGGGCATGACTTTTATGTTGAAATAGTACATGGAAATAAAGAAAACTGTCATCTTCCGGGCTATAGTTGTGAAACCAAAGACTTCTTGTAGTGTTAAAGAAACTAGCCCCACAAATGTAATTTCTAATATATATCAGCCAATATTTGATAATGTGGCAATGAAATTTTATGGGATGGAATGATAAAGAAATCATCAATATGCTTTCAATTATTGAATTATTTTGTCCTTTTTATATTTTTTTAGGTGATTTGAAAATTTTCATCCACTCAATAGGACATTTAGAGGAACAACATTTAAAAATGGAGGGACTGGTTATCAATCATCACTTATTTATAAATACAAAAAAAAGCATTCATTATTTGTTTCAACAATAGAAGATAATGTTTGTATTATCAAAGTTTACCATGAAAATGAGCTTATAGATTCACTTGAAGGTACATCACCAATTGAAGTTTGGAAAAAAACTAACTATATTCAAAAATATGATGGCTACCAACTCTTTGGTTTAGATAATATTATTGTTCAAAATTTTATTAAAAAACATAAAGTTTCAAAATCTATGCCAGATGAATAGAATAATTTCTTACTTATGAAAAATCTTTATAACTACAGTTTTGAAGAGAAGAGCTCTTGCCAATATAGAATGACATAAAATTTTTTACTAATTGGTTAGACCTTTATTCTATTTGTAATGAATATGGATATGAAGTTTTTTCAGAAATTAAAGATACTTTGAAAAAAGGCATTGAAAATATTCACTTTCAGATATTTGCATTGCACATCAGCATTTGTTAATTATTTTATATATATTCAAGTGCTGATTATGTTAATATTTATCATTAATTAGAAAAAAATAATTGAAGGATTGCAAACCTTGAAAAGATATTTATTATGAAAAGATATTTCAAAAGAGTTTATTGTCAATCTAGCAGAAGTACTTCATAGTGATTGCATTAATCATTGTCTTTTTTATGCATTTGGGGAATGTAATCATATACATTCAAATATTTGTAATGGTTGTAATTTTTTTTTTTTGAATTATTTAGTGCAGATCTCCAATCAATTATAGAAGAATATCAAAAAAAAACTAATTTATCTTATGGGACATCATTCAAGAAAAACACACCTAAATGCTCAATTAAAAGCAAATTTGGCCAAATAAGATCATGAAGAAGCTTTGTTTATTGTAGACTACAAGATGAAAATATTGCCTAAAAATGCATGAGAGACCAAATCAGAGTTATATGGTAAAAGAGGATGGACATTACATTCAGTATTGATATATACTAAAGTTATTGGTAATGACAAATTGAGGCTGGAGAAGCAAAAACACCACTAGATTTTCATCATGCAACAGTAAATATACTTTATAGTTTTTTTTGTATTCCACATTAATTAAAGCTCCTCATGAGCTGGCTTGCGAGCTAGATAACTTATTCAGCTTGTGAGGAGCCTTAACATTAATCTAATCTTAAATTTCAGTTAGCACATGCAATAAATTGTCATGTAAAATTTGGCTTTACTATTGAATCTGGTGAAGTTATTGAGGTGGCCATAAAAAATACAGCTGGTATACATGTGGCTAATTTCGAACTAAATAGAGTAAAAGGTAAATGAATATTTTTATTATACATGTGGTAGAAATAGGTAGATTACTGTCATAATTTATTGAGTCTTGGCACTAAATTAATTTCTACCACATGTATAAATGAGATGACAAATAAATATATATTTAAATTACAGATAATTCTTTGAAAGATAAAACTAAAAAATTAAGTACAATAGCTGGTATTACCAATTGGAATGAATGGGTATGACCCGATGAAGGTGTTGAAAAAGATGTATTTTTGCACAGCCTTTACCAGGGATTGATTCTTGGGATAATTCGTAAATAGTAAAATGTTTTTTAGCATTTTTAATTAATACAATTGTCAATTAGCAAACTAAATGCATAAAACTTTTGTTAAAGTAAACAAATCAATGGTACAATCCAAAAAGACAGGACAAATATAAAAATGTTTTAATAATAGGATGATGCTTAAAAGTAAAATAAACAAATAAACAAATAAACGGTATGTATGATCTTCGTCACACTAACTAAATATTAAACGAAAAAAGAAAGATGCTTCGCCACCACCAAAAAAGTTGTTCTTAGTAGCATATATGAATAACAAAAAACAATAATGAATTCAATTGTTAAAACTAAATATCTCTTCTTAAATGTAAAATAATCAAAAATTTTATTCTTACTAAACAGTTCTCTTTGATTGGAAAAAAATTATTATGTTTATCACGTGGAAAAAAAGGATTTAGTTATCTTTATTATATATATTTAAAAATCCATTGATTGATAGAATGCCAATATGGATACAAAATATAATTAATCAATCTTATTAATCTATCTGGAAGCTAATAAATAGATAGAACACAAATAGAAATATAAATAGTTACATTTCTCAAATTCAAATAAATAATAAGCGGAATTATTGGTTTGAATTTTGAGGGTGGTTAGGTTTTGAATATGAATTTAGGTTTCAGATATAGGTTTAGGTTTCGGGTAAGGTTTAGGTTTTGTAACCCGAAACCTAAAATAGACATTTTACCCGAAGCTGTTTCGGGAAGCCAAAAGGGTTTAGGGTCACAACATTGATGCTAACTAGGATTTTTTGTTTAAAGATTATTAGGAAAATTTTCAAATTCGAATTTTTAATTAAGATTATCAATTTTTACCGATAGATTTTTTAATTTATAAGAATTAACAGGTCTGAACGATTCTGGTATAGTCATTATAATTATAATAATAATGAATTATAATAATTACATTTTACAGATTAGTAATAGTATTATTGTTATTATTATTATTATTATTATTATTATTATTATTATTACTATTAAGATTTATTTTATTTAGTGTTTTTCGGTAGCTTTATTTTATTTTGACTTGTGCTCGCCCAACGTTAGATTCTTTTCAAGTAATTAATTAATTTTGCAGTAAGTTCGATAGGAATTACGAAATAAAAAATTTGAACAAAATTTATTGCTATAACTATTTAATTACAAAAAAAATATTAACTATTCTGCCCAGGTAGCTCAGTCGGTAGAGCGTGAGGCTTTTAAAGCTGTAACGTTAGCTGTAGTGCAACCTTAAGGTCCTGGGTTCGAGCCCCAGTCTGGGCGACTAATATTATTTTTTTTTTTTCATTTTACACAATAAAAATGTCTGATAATTTTGAAATTCAAGAATCAACAATTATATCGAAAGAATCTTTAAGTAATGAAAATTCTACATGGCTTGGTTTATACAAGATAACGTATTTGGATCAGAATGGCCAGAAAAGAGTAATTAACATTACTAATAAAATATATTTTATAACAACCAATTATATATATATATATAATAATAATAATAATAATTACATGTATGAATAAATTGTTTAGATTTGGGAAACTGTACAAAAGAAAACAAGTAGAATTAGTGAAATTGATGGTAATTATTTTAATTATTGAAATAGACAAATAAAATCATTTTATTTTAATAAATATCTTGACAAAACTTATTAAAATAATATATAATGTATAATATATAGCTGTTGGTGTAATTCCATTATTAAAATCAAGGCATTCAAGCTCAATAAAAACAGTTCTTTGCGTACAATTTCGTCCCACTATAGGAAGAAAATGTATAGAACTTCCTGGTGGTAAATAATCATAAATCACACAGTAATATGATTTAATATAATAATTCATTCAATTCTCAATTTAATTAATTCATTCGTTCTATCTTTTCCCTGCTTAGGATTTATTGATAAAGGTGAAACACCTGAACAAGCAGCATTACGAGAATTATACGAGGAGACAGGATATAAAGGTAAAGTTATAACTAAAGTTTCACCTGCTATGTTTAGTGATGTAGGAATAACTGATGGTTGCGTGAAATTGGTTTTGGTCGAGGTGATGAAAACAAAATTTTTTTATTGATTAATTAATCAATTATTATTATCAAAGGAATTAAGAATATATATGTGTGTATATATATAATATATTAAAGGTTGATTTAGATGATGAAATTAATAAAAATCCAATTCCAAAACTTGAAGAAGAAGAATTTATTGATATTATAATAGTTGATTTAAAAGATCTCCTTTCAACTTTACAAGGTTTTTTATTGGTTTATTATCTTTCTCTGATTAGTTAACTTTTAAATGGAAAAAAACAAAATTTACAATAAATAACTAAATTTCTAAAAACTTAGAATATGATAAACAAGGATATGGAATAGATTCAAGAATAGGCTCATTTTCTTTAGGTTTATTTATGTCTACTACAAACAATATAAATAACGAGCAGCTTAAATCTTTTTTATAGCATTTGAAATCTCTATTGTTATATGTTAAGCCTTATCATTTTTATTGTTATTATTAAAAAATTTTTTTTTTTTTTGAAAATTCATATATCATCAGATTCTTTGAAAAATTTTTTTTTTATTGCCAAGACATGTAGGGCAGTTAGATTTGTTTATCACGATAGTAGTAGTACAAATACACAAAATAAAATAAATGAATTTTTTTTTAATTACAAAGTTTTAAATTTTTTGTCATTTTAACCAACATAAAATTTTACAAATGGTAAGTTGGAAAACTATTGTTTACATTGTGGATGAACTATAATAATGCTAAATAAGTTTACGTAAGATGGAAGGACAACGTTTTATAAACTCAGGAGGGAGGAGCCATCACCCTTTTGAACTTTCAAATATTATGACATATTAAACCCTTGGTTTGGTTTTAATATCGTTTGCACACATAAATAAAACCAGAAACTTAACCTTAAATTTACTGTTTTTTTTTTTTTTATTCTTTTTATTTATTCTTTTTATTTCTTTTATTATTATTATTATTATTATTATTATTATTATTATTATTATTAAATTATTATAGGCTGACCAATTGACTGAAGACCAAATTGCTGAATTCAAAGAAGCATTTTCTCTTTTCGATAAAGATAATGATGGTTCCATTACCACTAAAGAATTGGGTACGGTGATGAGATCTCTTGGACAAAATCCAACTGAATCCGAACTACAAGATATGATTAATGAAGTTGATGCTGATGGAAATGGAACAATTGACTTTCCAGAGTTCTTAACCATGATGGCAAGAAAAATGAAAGATACCGATTCTGAAGAAGAAATAAAAGAAGCATTCAAAGTATTTGATAAAGATGGTAATGGTTATATTTCTGCTGCTGAATTAAGACATGTCATGACTAATCTTGGTGAGAAACTTTCTGAAGAAGAAGTTGATGAAATGGTAAATTTATAACGTTAATAGTATCTTGTATACATTTGTTTATATTATATCGTTATATTAAAATAACGAATATTATTTTTAGATTCGTGAAGCCGATGTTGATGGTGATGGCCAAATTAATTATGAAGAGTTCGTTAAAATGATGATGACCAAATAATAATTTAGCATTAATTAATTAACTTATATTTTTATTTATAAAATAATTTTTAATTGTTCATATATATCTTGTATGTATGATTTATAAAGATGTGACGTATGTATTATTTTTAATATCATAATGCAATGATTGATTGATTGATTAATTAATTACTTATATGCTCTTTATATGTTATGAAAAACAAATTTTCATCGTCATCATTATTACAAATGCAATGATTAATCAATTAACTTTATTTTATCATTTATATATGCCTTGCTCTTGCTCGTTCTATTTTATGAAAATATAAAATTTTCATCATTATTATTACAAATGCAATGATTGATTGATTGATTAATTAATTGATTAATTACTTTATTGTTTATATGCTATGCTCTTTCTTGTGAAAATATAAAAATTTCACGTTACAAATGAAACGATGAATTAATTAATTGCTTTATTATTTATTATGTGCTCTTTCTTGTTCTGTTTTATGAAAATATAAAAGTTTTCATCGTTGTCATTATTAAAAATTTTTGGTTAAATTAAGAAATTTTAATAAGCTAAAAGTTAAACAAACCACATCTCGCCATATCAATGAATCGATCTCTTAAGAATACATCTAGTAATTCTTTCCTTTGTTTTCCCTCTCGGTCTAATTATAGGGCTTCTGATTGATCTAACCCTCTTAAAAATCACCCCACCAACATCATTAACAATTTCGTCATCCACCATTATCTTATGTTTTGGTGAATTAAATGCTGTTGTTTCCTCCCCAATTTTACTTTCTTCGATCTTTTTTTTCACTTTAATTATTTTCTTTTTTTGTTTATCATCACCCTCATTCTCATGTGGTGAAGAAGAAAAAGAAGATTCGCAGGAACTACCTAGATTAGATGATTCATCTGAAATATAAAACTCTTCTTCTTCTTCACTACCAAAATCATGATCAGTAAACCTTTTTCTTTTCCTTTTATTCGATATTTCTTCTTCACTAGTATTTCCATCGTATTCATTATCGTCCCCACCTTCTCCTTCTATTATTTCTTTCATTACATTAACGCTATTAGTAGAAAAAGGTTGTGGCCTAAAAGATCCTTGCGATGATGATGCAGGATGTTCTATGAACGAATGAGATGATAATTGAGAATTAACATCATCAGTTTGTAGAGAAGAGCTATTTGAATCTTTTGTATTATCTGTAATTAACGAATCTTGATCACTTCCAACTAAAAATGATGGAACGTCCAATGGTATTATTGCACCGTTATCACTAATGCCGTTACCATCACCACTATCATAAGAATTACTATTATCAACAGCTCCTAAATTAAGATTTTGTAATAATGTAGCTGTACCAGAACCTAAATTAAGATTTCCTAGCAATGTTGCTGGACCAGCTGATGACAAGGATGAACCAAATTCATAATTGTAACTGTCTAATGAATCATTATGTTGATCTTCTAATTGAAGAATAGATACAACAAATGGATATTTTTCCTAGAATATTTACTCAATTTCACCAAAAAAAAAAAAGAAAAAATTTTTTTGTTAAACTACATAAAAAACTTTATTTTTCTACGAATAATAGAATTGCTTCCAAAAAAAAAAAAAAAATCAAAATTTTTTTTGCTACCTGCATCAAAGTTAACATGTCATCATGATAAATTTCTATTTTATTGTGTTTATATATCTTTTCAGATCCACGCATCATTATATTTGATCCAAACTTAAAAATAAATTATTAATAAACCATGTATAAATTCATTAATAGTTACAATATGTTTGCCACTTAATCACATATAAATCATCCTTAAAAATTTACCAATGTAGCATAAACTCGACCATTCTTAACTTCAAATTTCACTTGTTTTTTAAAAAAATGACGCGAGTATAATTATTAAATGATAAAGAAAACGAGAACTAGGCTGATGAAAAAACAAGATAAATATACCATGTACTTCATTAAGAGCTTTATCATCAACAAATCCTTGACGCCTGCCAAGTTCAAGTGTATCAGGTTCAATAAAGCTATAGACTTTATTAATTGGTTCTAAAAAAGTGATTATTACTTTTGTCAGCATTGTTATTGTTATTAAAAAAATAAAAATTACAGATAGTTGTTAATTTATTGATTTGATTTGATTTACTGATTTGATAGTTTAATAAGTCACATGTTTGATGATTATAAATAATACTAACTAGTACTGGACAACAATAATAATAATTCACATACCATTCACTCGACGTCAAGTCGCTCCAAACAAATACCTTTTATGGTAAAACTGGGAGTCGTGCGCTGTAGTTTAGCGTAAGAAAAAAATTAGTAAAGAATCGGTACTACGCTTCGTATTGTTTTTGCTTAGAGTTTTTAATTTTTTTGAATTCCTTTTTTGAAAAAAACTTTTTAGAAATTCTGAGATTTTACAAACTTCAACTCATAGTAATAATAATAGTAACTGAGTGAATATGAATGATGAATTTTTTGTTTTTTATTTTCAATATGTTTATTTATTTTTTGAAACTATGTAATCGAACAGGTTTGGTTTTTTGTTTGGTTAGTGTGATGAAGATCATATTATTTATATATGTAGAATAAAATTAGTATTAGCTAAAGCTAAAAAACATTTATTTAAAACATTCTACGAATTAATTTTTTTTTTTTGAAACTCGTGAATGAAAACAAAAAATCTCTTGAAATTCAGTAGCATAGACACTTAGTTGAGATGGATCCATCTGCATTACTTTGAATGACAAAAAACACCAGTACTTGTACCAGGATAAAAGATGACAATAAAGAAAATAATAATGATGGTTAGAGTTTCTATTCGTAATACAATTTCTTATTTGAATTATTCATAATAAACTTCAATTTTTATTCGTTTTATTTAAATTAACTTTCAATGGAATTCGAATACTCAAATTCATAATGAATAAAACAAATAGTAATAATAATAACGATAGTAGCAGTAATAATGATGCCAGCAAGCTTTAGTACCATTTGAGAGAGATCAACTGAAATTTATTTAAGTTTTTAGCTGACTAAGGTTTTCTACTTGTAATTATTGATGAATTGTTAATCAAAGAATAATTGAAAGATATCCAAATGTTTTATTAACTGGAAATTTAAAAGAAACGCCTCGTATTTTAGATTAGGATGGATTAGGAGTGTTGTATAAAAGTTAAATAAATAATGATACTACAAATCCAATTGAGAATTTGGATGAAACTAATGATAATGAAAACAATGATAATAATAATGACAATAATGATAATATTAAAAAAATATTAAAAATGATAGCATCAATGACATTGATGACATTGGTGATAATGATAAACAAAGTTTAGTCTAGATCAAGGCTCAAATATTAACAAATCAAAAGGTCAGGATTATTGCAGCAGAAATATCAAGAAAATGTTTCAACCAATTGGGATACGCATACACATCTTCTAGAAGAATGAAAATTATGTTTAGTGTTAAATAAGCCAAATATGCAGGCAGTGATTTAATAATATAATAACATTTTAAATGAATAGAATTTAATATATTACTTTATATACCTTTTTAAAAGGTTATTCTACGATCAATCAAGTATTGGGTTGTATTTAAAGTAAAACTTGGTAGTAAATTGTGAACTGAAGTTGGTAATATTTTGAGAATAATAGTTAATGATTTATTCAAAGTGTGTTTTTTCTTTAATATAATGGTGGCTATTATTGATTATAGGAGTTATTCAGCAAGTGAATTGCATGCAAAATTTGAGATGGAAAATGTAGAAATCTTGATAATGAAGAAAGTTACTATTAATCTTTATTAATTTTAAAATAAATATAATCAAAGAGATTAAATAATAAATAATAAATTCTTGTAGCAAGTATTAAAAAATATTGTTTTAATTGATAATAAATAAATTATTGTATTTAATATTTTAATTTCTAATTGGTAAAGGATAAGCTTATTGAATTTAAATATCCATTTGTTCTTGTTGTTCTTCTAATTCCATTTTCAATTCAGTTATTTCTTCTTTAAGTCTACAAAGCTTCTGTAATTCTTCATTATTGATAATATCATGTAATTTGTCTTTCTTCCGGATCAGTGAATTGTGTAAAAGTGTTAGATCTTCCTGACTTTTCAATACTTCATTTAAAATAGTCAAATCATCCTGAGTTATTTTGGTTTTGATATTATCGAAAAGCTCTTCGAACTCTTTTCTTTTATCATCTAGTTCCGGTCCGGATAATTCTTCAGTTGGTTCATCGTCATCATCATCATCATTTTTATTAAAACTATAAGTGAAATTAGCGTTGTCACCAACTGTAACGCCAATTATTGTAAGACCATTTTTGACGGTCACTTGTCCTCCTATGTTAATAGGTGGTTTTTCTTGAGCTTGATCGTTATCTATTCTCATGATATTATTATTATTATAGAATTGGCAAAGGAATTAAAGAAAAAATTCGTTGTAGTGTGACCATTGCGTGATATCCGATGGACGGGTATAACCAAATTTAGAATTACTAACCATATATATATATACAATAACATCATAATTTGGTATATCTAACCTTGTCACGGGTTGGACACATAAAAATCCGTTATGAAAAGAATTTAATTATTATTATAGTCCGTTCTGGCGAGGTACGCTGTGACAAGGTTTGACCGTATGGTGCACGCCATTTATGAATGTTTATCCCAAAACTTTAAAATATAGATTTAAATTTGTTTTATATTGCAAGAAGCGCAAAAGGTTTTTATATGACCGTTTAGGAAACAGTAATTTAATCAATTCAAACAAGAATTCCTTAGGATTAAACGTTTATTCTTATTCAAGAAACTAGATCGATGTGCAATTATTACGCGCTGGTAGTAGGATTCCGCAAACTTTATAGGTCAGAACAAAAATTTCTGTTCGTTATATGATTTGACCCAGACTAAAATTAAGTTTAATATATAACTTGACTCTAAATTTTGCAATAATAAAATTAGAAAAAAGAACATAATTTGACCCATAATACAATTATTATAACAATTGAATGTTTATAAATTATTTTATTTAATTCAAATTGTATTTAAGTTTACTGGAATGTATAGTATTTTTCTTTTCTTTGTATAAGAATTTTGAAATTTCTATATCAAAACACTTGAACAAGGCCCTGGAAACTCATATCAGATGTTCTCGGCCAAGGTTTTTCTGTTGGCTTACATCATTATTTATGAGATGGTGCAATGTGCAATTATTGATGAATTGTTAATCAAAGAATAATTAAAAAATATCCAAATGTTTTATTAACTAAAAATTTAGAAGAAACTTCTTGTATTTTAGATTGGGATGTATTAGGAGTGTTGCATAAAAGTCAAATAAATAATGATATCAATAATCCAATTGAGAATTTGGATGAAATCAATGATAATAATAATAATGACAATAATGATAATATTAAAAATGACATTGATGATATTGATGATAATGATGAACAAAATTTAGCCTAGACCAATGCTCGAATATTAACAAATCAAAAGGTTGGGATTAGTGTTGGTTTCCAAAAACTAGAGAGTTTCGCAAGTCAAAAGGTTTCGTCATAAGTCGAAACTAGTTTTGATTTTTGATTATTGACTTTTGATTTAGTTTTGACATATAACTTTTAGTTTTATTTTTTGACTTTCGCGCCTTCAAAATAGTTTTGGCGATTAACACTAGTTGTGATAATAAAGAAAGTCAATTAGGATATGCACACATATCTTCTGAAAGAATTACGCATCAGAAAATTATGTTCAGTGTTAAAAATAAGCCAAATGTTCAGATAATGATTTAATATAATAGCATTGTAAATGAATTATATATATACATTTAAAAGGTTGTTCTATGACCTAATCAAATATTGGGTTTTATTTAAAGTAAACTTGGTGGTGATTGTGAGCTGAAGTTGGTAATATTTTGGAAATAGAAAATGTAGGAGAATTATGGTTAGTGATTTATTCAAAGTGTTTTTTCTTTAATAGCAGTGGTTATTATTTAATTGGTCGATTTATATGAGTTATTCAGCAAGCGAATTGCGAAATCTGAGATGGAAAATGGCTTTGGCTTTGCAACATGTGTAGAATGTTGATAGTGAAGAAAGTTACTATTATTCTTTATTCAAAAGATTTGGCTGTCATTATTAATTTTAAATAAAACATATAAATATAAGTAAATAATAAATTAAAGAGATTAAATAATTGAACATTAGTGTAAAATTTTAAGTTTTATATTATATAAAAAATTAGATGGCTTTAATTGATAATAAATTATTGTATTAAATATTTTAATTTCTAATTGGTAAAGGGATAAGCTTATTGAATTTGAGCATCCATTTGTTGTTATTCATTCATTTTCATTCCCAATTCAGTTATTTCTTCTTTAAGCTTGCAAAGCTCCTGTAATTCTTCATTACTGATAATATTACGTAATTTGTCTTTCTTCTGGATTAATTGTTCTTGCCTTTTGCTGATATTTTCGGCAGTAATATATGGTGAATCACGCAAAAGTGTTAGAGTCTCCTGATCATCCAATACTTCTTTTAAAATAGCCAAATCTTTCTTGGTTATTTTGGCTTCGATTTTCCCAAAAAGTTTTTCGAACTCGAACTTCGTTCTTTTACTATTCAGTTCCAGTTTGGATAATTCTTCAGGTGGTCCATTTTTAATATTATAACTGAAATTAGCATTGGCACCAATGGTATTGCCAAACATTGCATGACCATTTTTGACGTTGAAAGATTTTACTCGATCTTGATCGATTTTTTCCATGATTATTATTATTATTATTATTTTAGTATTGACAAAGGAATTGAATGCCAATATTTAAATAATAAAATTCGATGGTTCAACTCCGTTGGTGTTACCATTGTGGGAAACTCGATAGATTGGTTTAACCAAATTTAGAATGCACTAGCCAAATATTTACAACATAAATAGTTTCCTGTGGTATGGTACACGTCATTTATAAGTGTTTTTATAAGGCTATTTAGAAAACAGTCATTTAATAAATTCAAACGTTATTTATATTTTAAGAAATTGTTCCAACGCGGAATTATTTCGCACTAG